TGGGGGACGGGACGGCGCCCCGGGGAGGGCTCCCGAGGGGCGCGGGTGCCGAGGCGGGAGCTGGAAGGCTAGGAAGGGTTCCCGAGCCGGGGTTCTGCTGGGCCTGCCCAGCGGGGTCTGCTCCTAGCGCCCGCCTGGCAGGCACGTGAGCGCGGGTCAGGCGTTTCTGGGGAACGGAATGCGCCCTTTAAATCCCTCAGCGCTCCGGCTACGCACTTGGCCACACACAGTGAATTACACGGGTTTCCCGTCGCCAGCTCTTTCCAAGGACCTGGACGATCACATCCTCGGGCTTACAGACCCGGACTGGGCCTGGGCCTCCTCCTGCGCGGGGCCTGGCCGGCCGCTGAGCCCAGTCTTAGGGGATGTGGATGGTTTCGAGGAAGAGAGAACAGGAGGTTGTTAGCACGGTGGGCAGCAGCTCTGTCCTGAATACAAGGCGGTTCCTTGTCGCCTAAACCACGTGGGAAAGGCCATCCCTGGGGCTTGCCAGGTGGGGCGAGCACGGGGTCTGCCTCCAGGCCCCAGGGTCAGGCCCCAGGTGCTGGGCCGGGGAGATGGCCTGCAGCTGGGATGCCCACTCTCACATGATGGCTGGTGAGGAGTCAGTCTCGCCGGAAACAGCGGAGGTGAAAGCTCTCGGGGACCTCACAGGACAGGGGACATCTGCCGTTACTGCACATGGCGTTTGCAGACACGCGCGTGCGGTGGCTCACGCCCGTGTAAGGGGGTGATTTGGGAATCTCCGTTCCTCACTGTTTGCTGCGCCGACGAAAAGCCAGGTCTGATACTAACTGGTGTTTGAGAAGGTCCCAACCGCCTGGGGCTTGGCCCAGGTCTGCGGGCGTCAGGAGTGATGGGGCAGAGGGAGACCCAGCGGTACCCACACCTGAGACACCTGGGACAGGTGTTTTTGTGTTTCTTTTTTAACATTTTTATTGATTTCAGAGAGGCAGGGAGAGGGAGAGAGGGAAACATCCATGAGGAGAGAGAATCATGGATCGGCTGCCTCCTGCTCGCCCCCTACTGGGGACCGCAACCCGGGCATGTGCCCCGACCTCCTGGTTCATAGGTCGATGCTCAACCACCGAGCCACGCCGGCCGGGCCTGGGACAGGTGTTGAGCTGGAGGCCCGGCGATCAGATGTGTGTTTTGGAAAAATCACGGAGGTGGTGTGGCAGGGAGCAGCCGGCCGGCTGGAGAAGCCACTGACAGCCTCGCCCTGCGTCTGAGAGGCTGCCATACGGCAGGGCGGGGGCACTTCATGGGTGAGGGCTCAGCTTGGTGAGAGTGGGTCACGGGGGCCGGGGGGGGGGTGTTTCCGTTGGTGAGGGGTGCACCTGGGTGGGACCAGTGCCAGGGCCCTGGGGCAGAGCCAGGAGCCGCCTCAGGACTCCCACGGGGGTGTCTGGGCACCTTGCAACGTCAGGGAGACAGGACTGTAGTTGGACACAGTGGTCTGGGCTGCAAGTGGGGACGTGGGCGTCACCCGCCCGGGGGTGAGAACCTCGTGCGCTGGGTGGATTTTCCGGAGTTTTGGTTCCGGATTTTGTCTTTGTTGCCAACTGTGCTTCCCCCTCCTCCCTCCCCCCCCTCCCCCAGGCGCCAGCCAAAGTCAGGACACATGTCCCTGGGTCTGGGAAGGGGGACGCGGGTGCTCCTCCCTGGTCATGGGGGGAAGGGGGGCACACGGACACATGTCCCTGGGTCTGGAGGGGCCGCACGTCAAAGGCACCTACCTCGGTTGCAGGCTCCTCCCCGGCCCAGGCCCTGGTCGGGGCTCGTGCAGGAGGCAACCAGTTGATGTCTCTGTCTCTCCCCTCTCTTTTCCACTCTCCCTAAGAATCAATGAAAAAATATCCTACGGTGAGGATTAAAAAAAAAAAAAGGATCAACCAATGAATCATCAATAAGTGGAACAACAAATGGATGTTTTTCTCTCTCTAAAGACCATGCATCTGGAGAAGGAAGGCGGCCGGCTGAGCTCCGGCAAGCTGGAGGTGGAGCTCCATCAGACGTCCGCTTCCCCGCCTGCTGGCCTGGGACTCACCGCCATCACCCGCCGGCCACAGCTGGGAGTCAGGGGGGCAGACCCCGAGGGCCCCTACCCCCAGCAGGCGGCCGGGCAGAGCTGCTGGGCTCCTGTGGACCAGGATTTTGGTTCCTTCCTCACAGAGCAGAGGTGAGTTTAAAATGGTTTTAGCGCCCGGCCGGTGTGGCTCAGTGGTTGAGCATCGACCCACAAGGAACCAGGAGCTCACGGTTCGATTCCCGGTCAGGGCACGTGCCCGGGTTTCCAGCTCCATCCCCGCTGTGGGGGGTGCAGGAGGCAGTCGATGGATGATTCTCTCTCATCATGGATGTTTCTCTCGCTCCCTTCCTCAACCACTGGGCCACACCGGCCAGACAGAACTCCAGCTTTTTTTTTTTTAACGTTATTTTATTTATTTTAGAGTAGAAGTGAGAGAGAGAGAAACATCAATGATGGGAGAGAATCACTGATCAGCTGCCTTCTGCACGCCCCCTGCTGAGGATCGAGCCTGCAACCCGGGCATGTGCCCTTGACTGGAATCGAACCCGGGACTCTCCAGTCCACAGTCCGACGCTCAATCCACTGAGCCAGACCGGCTAGGGCCAGCTTTTTTCTGCAGAGACTGAATGCAGACCCTCACAGGAGACTTTTATCCCTGCCCCTCACTCTCTTGTGTCTCGAGGGCGCCCCCTGCTGGCGGGGGCGGCACCTGTCGCTTGTGCTGCTCTGTGTGTCTTTCAGGTCTCACTTGCCTTTCACCGGGTTCTGCAGCTCCAGGCCCCGAGAAGCCTGCTGCACAGAAAGCACGCCTCTGCTGGGGGGCCCCTCCCAGGAGCGGGGGTGAGTACCCCCCTTCCGCCAGAGGAGGCCTCTCTGAGCATCGCCCGAGGTCTCAGGGGGAGGCCTTCTTCCCCAGAAAGGAACTTGTCTCTGACGAATCAGGGGCCAGGCTCTCTGCCCCTTACTGTCAGCTCCAGGGCCATGGTGTGTGTGTGTGTGTTTGTTTGTTTTTATGGATTTCAGAGAGGAAGGGCGAGGGGGAGAGAAAGAGAAACATCCACGAGGAGAGAGAATCATGGATCGGCTGCCTCCTGCACACCCCCTACTGGGGATGGAGCCCACAATCCGGGCCTGTGCCCTGACCGGGAATCAAACCCTGACCTCCTGGTTCCTCGGTCGATGCTCACCCCCTGAGCCACGCCGGCCGGGCTAGCTGATGTTTCTCGAAGGCCCACAGTGCATTTTGAAGATCCGAGTGGATTCTTACTCCCCTGGACCCCGTTGTTCTGTGATGTCCTCCGTAGGCCAGGCCCAGCCCCTCGACATCTGTCCTCGTTTTCGAAGCCGGGATGGAGTCCGCATGTCCCACGCCGGCGTGAGATGTGGTCCTGTGCTGGAGACGGGCCTCGTCTCGTGAGAATAACCCCCATGTTGCTTCCCAGGGCGCGGTGCCTGCCCGTCTGCCACCCGGAGCTCATCACGGCGGAGTCCTGGGACCTCAGCTCGGCCGAGTGGGAGGGCACGTCGCTGCTGGGCAGTGAGGCGGCCGGGTCCTCCAGATCCGCCTCCTCGGACAGGGGGGACCTCCTGGAAGGGGCTCCCGTCCCGTTCCGCCTCTCCAAGCTGAGGTAGGAGGTCCCGGGGCCCCGTGTGGTCCAGGGTGACGGTCCCACAGCGCGGCCCACTGGCCTGGGACGGGGCTGGGGGTCTCGCGCTCCCGACGCCCCGCCCACCCGGCAGTGAAGGGGGGGCGGGGTTTTCACGCTCCCAGGAGGACGTGTCAGGTGGCACGGGACCGCGGTCGCTGCTTTGTCGCTTGGGCTCCCCTATGGACATGGAGCGGAAGGAAGGGCCCTGTTGAGACCTGCATGTCGGAAAGCGGCATCTCGGGGACGGGCGGGGGCTCGGGCCAGGACCCCGGGCCCCCATTTGGGATCTGCAGCAGCTGAGGGACCCGCAGGGCCAAGCCCGTCTGTGCGGCTGTCTCCCCGTCGCCTGGTGGCCCCACCTCATTCCACAGCGTCCTGTGGCCTCCACCCACGTGGGCTTCGGGGAAGCCCCGGGTCGGTGAGAAGGCCCCACCGTTTCTCTGCATCGGGAGCCCATCTCTGCTGAAGCTTTTGAAAATATATATTTTTTAAATATATTTTTAAATATTTTTATTGACTTCAGAGAGGAAGGGAGAAAGAGAGAGAGATAGAAACGTCAATGATGAGAGAGAATCACGGATCGGCTGCCTCCTGCACGCCCCGCACTGGGGATGGAGCCCGAAACCCAGGCCTGTGCCCTGACGAGGAATCGGAACCCTGACCTCCTGATTCATAGGTCAGCGCTCAACCACTGAGCCCCGCCGGCCGGGCACGTGCAGCTTCTTTGTGCTGACTGGCCTCCGCCCTCTCCCGGGCCTGACAGATGATTGGCTAATCACCCCTGGGCCGGAGGTGACAGGCGGCGTGTGGCCCTTCCTACCGTGTCACAGAGAGAATCCAAACACGAGGTCTGAGACGGGGTCCCCAGGGCCTCCCAGAGGCGTGTGAGGTTTGGCCAGCCTGGGCACTGGCGGACGGGACTGCCGGCGTGTGACGCAGACCCGGCTTTTCTCCGCAGGCGCTGTGCGCGGCGGCTGAAAGTCACGGGCCTCTTCGTCTTCGTGGTGATGTGCTCGGTGAGTCCCACGCCCGGGGGTGCTGGGGAGCGGGCGCCCGCGGTGTGGGCTCACAGGCTTCTGTGGAGGCGGGGCCTGGGGGTGGGAGCTGGCAGAGCTCCTCTGTCCTGGTCCCACGTCACAGGGACCTGGTTTTGCTCCATAGAAGGCAACTGGCTGCCCCTGGGTCTCCCCACTCCCTCCAGGGGCCCCCCAGGCTGTCACTCACCCCCACACAGTAACACTCGTTACTGCTGGGGGCCCTGTCCAGGGATCGTGGGAGGCCCCCGCATGTCCTGGGACCCTTTCAGGTGGTGCCCTGGGCCTCGGCCAGGCTGGGCCATGTTGTGTGTGGGGTTTTGTTTGTTTGTTTGTTTGTTTTTAAATATGTTTTTGTCGCTTTCAGAGAGGAAGGAAGGGAGAGAGAGAACATTGATGTCTCTCTCTCTCTCCCGCTCCCTTCCTCTCTGAAATCAATAAAAATATATATTTTAAAAAATAATAATCAAGGCCCATGGTCGCTGAAGATAGTAGAACGGATCAGAACTTGATTCTAATCTCTAAGAAGGGCTATTTGGAGTCAACTGGTGGATGTGGGGTGCATCAAGCAATACCATTACCACCCCCTATTATCTTTTTATTTTTACTTTTTAATCCTCCCCCGAGGATATTTTTCCATTGATTTTTAGGGGGAGTGGAAGGGAGAGGGAGAGGGAGAGAGAGAAACATCGACGTGAGAGAAACACATCGATGGGTTGCCTCCTGCACGCACCCTGACCAGGGCCCGGGCTGGGGAGGAGCCTGCAACCAAGACACATGCCCTTGACTGGAATCGAACCCAGGACCCTTTGGTCCGTAGGACGACGCTCTAGCCACTGAGCCACACCGGCCAGGGCTCCTCCCCCTATTTTCAGCGGTGACCCATCTTCTGTGAGCTGTGTTGCGCTTACCCACAAGCCCTCCTGAAGTGCTTCTGGTCGCTGCAGGTCTCGTTCAGCCTGTATCCCGACGAAGGGAAGCTCTGGCAGCTGCTGGCCGTGTCGCCGCTGGAAAGCTACTGTATCTAAACCGTAAACCGTGCGGGCGGGAGGTGGATGGTGGCTGAGGCTGGGAGTCACAGAGCAGAGAGGCGCCCAGGCCCAGTTCCAGGGGTCACCCCAGGTCACTGCACAGGCCAAGGACGCTGAGTGAAGGACGAGGCTTCGGGACAGAAGGGGAGGGAGCTGTGAGAGCCCGCGGTGGGCGGGTGGCGGCGAGGATCCCCACGCGAGGCGGGTGCCGCTTTCAGGTGCCTGGGTTCCGGTCCTGGGTCTGGCGACGGCTTGGTTTCTTCCCGTTGTGTGTTCTCTGGGTCCCTGGCAGGCGACCTGGCTGGTCGTGAAAAGGCAGATGTGCGTGTAGGATAGACGTTCGAGTGTGCGCGTCAGCTGCGGCTGACGGTGTGGATTCTACACCCGTTTCTCAGTTCTGGGGGCTGGAAGTTCAAGGCCAAGGTCTTGCGGGCGGATCTGGTGCCTGGTGAGGTCTCTCTTCCTGGCTTGCAGACAGCCGCCTTCCTGTTGCATCCTCCCAGGTGTGTCTTGGTGCTCTGCGTGGAGTGAGAGAAAGCTCTCTGATGTTTCTCTCTCTTTTGAAAACATTTTTTATTGCCTGATTTTAGAGAGAGGAAGGGAGGGAGGGGGAGAGAGAGAGAGAGAAACGAGCATCAGCCTGTTGTACCTCTTATTGATGCATTCATTCGTTGGTTCTTGTGTGTGCCCTGACCGGGGATCGAACCCACAGCCTTGGTGTGTCAGGATGCTGCTCTAACCAGCTGAGCTACTTGGCCAGGGCTGGTATCTCTCCTTTTAAAAAAAAATATATTTTTTATTGATTTCAGAGAGAAGGGAAGGAGGGAGAGAGAGATATAGAACATTCCATGATGAGGGAGATTCATGGATCGGCTGCTTCTGGCACACCCCCTACTGGGGATCGA